CGAACACACACCGTAAGCACGTCGGCATTCCCGAAACCGTCACGCATGCATCGACAAACTACAACTGGGCCAACTGGGTCGCACGCGCGAATTCCGCCTCTGTAAGTGAAAATCTTCCGATGGCCCGCGGACGCCCTTCCTGGCGTCCTTCGACTCGCCGTTGCCTCACCGGGCCGTACCGCGTGGCTATACGCACGACCGACGAAAGATTACATCAGCGCGGCGTTGCCCTCGGAACTGTGGCCTCCGTGACGGGGGTGCTGCCTTTCTCCCTCGGAATCGGTGGTGCGTGCCTGCACTGTGTACGGGACTCACGCTTCGCTGCGCTTTGAGGTCTTCCGAGATACGCGGCGGTTACACAGGCTCTGCTCGCTGCTTCTGCTCCCGGAATAATCGACGGCCGCGCCGCTTCTGCGTGTAAAGCGCGTCGTTAGGAGTATATTTTTGGGATGTACTTCAAAGGACGTTACAGAAAGAATTACCTTTAAATTCATATGGTATAAGATTTCTGCCAATAGTGGACGAAGAGGGAATGCCTTTTGATTTGATTATGCTATGTGGACTTCACTGTTTATGGCGGGTTTCTATCGCGATCAGGATGCACGGCCTGCGCGAATGTATTTCCGTGAATGTATGGCCAAGTACGTTGAACTGCAGAAAACTCAGGAGATTTTACCTGAGTGGTTGTCGAGGGTGGAGCCCTTGGCAGCACTTAGGGAATTTTAAGTTTCTGTCGGACTGTTAGTGCTTGTTTGTGTTCTGCTTGTGGTATGATGTATGCGCCTATAAACAGGCAATAAAGCAAAAAAGGCAGTAAAAAAAGTAAAGCGCGTCGTTAAAACCGCGGATCAACGCTGACCTGGGCAGATTACGTTATTCGTACGATCAGGCTTTATTGGTCTTACTGTTCTAAGATATAAGGCTCTAGGGAAGGCTCGTAGCCAGGAATCTTTTATCTTCTTCGGGGTTATGGAGGGGGGTGTATTGAAAGTTTTGAAAAGCGCCTATTATTATTATATTTTCTGCGGTACAGCATCTCCCTCCACCCGAACAGGGACGTAGGCAAAAAAATTTTCCGGGGGGGGGGGGGGGGTGGCACTCCTTTAAAATTGCCATTTTTCGCTCTCTGTGCGATGGCAAAAAACATTTCAGAATTTTTTATGGGGGGCGGAGTTGGGCCTGGTGTGCCACCCCCTGGCTACGCCCCTGGATGGCCCTATAGCTTCATAGTTGCGCATACTTTCGCTGTGTGTAACAAAAAAATGGTTTTCTAAACACTGCTTTGTATTTGATTGGTATTTTTATTCATAATTAAAAGTAGCTTCAAGAATGGAAAAAATTCAATATGCTTGTGCTTCTTTTAGATTTTTTTCTGTCATGAGCATTTACTTATTTGTTCGATAGCATCTGGTGACACTGTGGCGAGCATAGTCGTGACAAAAAAAAAAAAAAAGAACGTATCAGGCGTACTTGTTATTCGATAGGGTGAACGCAGCTTTAAAATTTTCTTGTGCTGCCCTCTGCCTTTGTGCTAGTGCTTCGGCAGGAGCCAGGACAATTGCCGAAACGAAAGCCTCCGAGATGTTTTCGCTACTTCTCCTGCAAGTGGAACGGCGCACGTGGTGTGGCATCGTGAGATACGCGGATAGTCAATCTCGACGACACGTTCATATTGGTAGTGGTTAGATGATGAGAAAAGGCACCTAATTTCTGCAACCCGGTCGGGAGCACGGCGCAGTGCCTATATTGGCGCCAGTAAACCACTGCTGCCATGCTGGCCTCCGAGGTCGTTCACACTCTCCCACCTAAGTATAGAGGCGCTGCCGCTTGTGCCCGTCTCAACTGCTACGCCTGAGGCGCTCTGACCACCGGGACAAAGGCCTCGATGAATCATCCATACGGGCGCAGGACTCAAAGATTTACGGCTGAGTGACCACGCTTTTCTTGCGTCGTCGCTCAGCTCTACTCGTCGAACATGCGGTTGTGTTTTTTTGTTTGTTTGTTTTTTCTGACGGACGTACGACGAACTGCGGTCGCTTTCGGACTATACTACAGAGCTGCAAGTACTGACGCCCTTTGAACCTATAGAGTGATGACGGAATGCCTTGAACGTTGGTGGCCTTCTGCCAGCCGAGCCAGGCCCAGCCTCTTCTTTGAAACGTCGCACGAGACGCCGGGCTTTGACATTGGCCTTGGCCGTGGGCCGTGGGCACCTTCTCTCCGGCCTGTAGCTTTATAGTTGCGTGCAGCCTTGTAATAAGATGCCATGCGCTGGAAACTGTTGAGGAAGTGAGAGGTTAGGTCCGTATCAGTCATTACGGAGTCTGCCTATACGCCTACTTATGCTACTCGGATGGTTGTCTCGTCACATAACGACGCGTCTCACAGGTCGGAAACGAAGTGTATAGAGCTACGGGCGTGCTTAACAGTTTACCTGAAAGAATATCCGTTACGTACTGCATCGCCTTCTCTTGTCATAGTTTTACTATGACAAAACTTCTTTTGTCATGTAGTTTACTATTGACATTGTTCGAAACTAACTCGGAACCAAGCGTGCTGCGAAAGTCGTGGGTTCGAACCCTACAGAGGCGACTGCATTTTGATGGAAGCGAAATGCTAGAGGTAAGAATCCACAGGTTGTCGAAAACTTCCAGAACCTTTCACTGCGGTGTCCCTCGTAATATTATGGTGGTTTTGATACACAAATATTACTTTAAAATCGTTAAATTCTACAAACGCAATATATGGGGTCAGAAGAACTCGAGTCCGAGCTAGTTGGTGCTTATAGTTAGATATCTTGACCACCCAAAAAATGACGGGGACACTCGGACGTACGATGAAAGGGAGTTCGAGCAATAGATGCATACCACACGTTTTTGTCGGCACTTTCTTACGTGGCTCAGTAATATGTAACACTCTTTAGTTGCCAACCTCTGTTGAAATGTCCAAGTGTACCTCTTAGTACGTTCATATGCGAAGACGCTGCCTATTGAGATTTTTTTTTTGATCGATTGGAACGCTTATCAAGCTGTTCATTGGTGGCTGCTGAAACTTTCGCGGCCATTTATCTGACGTATTTCTAAATTTACACTCAGACAACGAAACAAAAAAAACTGTATAAAAAGTCGTAAGTGTCGGCCAATGGTTACGCAAACTCGGCACCAGCTTTCCTTATTGCACGAAACCGTGCTTCGCAAGGACCGCTGTGAGGCACGCGATCCCCCCTCGAGTGACCTTGGTCGATCGCATTTCGCGCGAGTCGTTTATTGCCTCCGTCGCAGCGGCACAAGCCTGCCTGGCTGCACTCACGTGTTGGCGCCGATTCAACGGCTATTAAGCTGTCAACCGACGGAAACGCATGTACGCACTGAATGTCTCACCGACTCTCAGTCCGATACTCGGCAGTCCAGGAGACCTGCGAATGGTTGGAGGGCCACGGTCTTCCAGTCCCGGCGTGGACGCGGTCAGCAACTGAGGTGGACACCTCTTAGGGGAGGTGTCTGACCAGTTCTCCAGGACCAAATAATGGTCATTTCACTTCACTGACTAATAAGAGAGGGTGGGGGACGAGGTAGGGCATACGGCATGCTGGTGTTGCTTGCGGCCAAGCTATTCGAAGGAGGAACGCCAGGAGCAGCCGGAAAAGGCACTCGCGTCGCTCTGAGAAACCGGCCGACCGTGTCGATTCTATGAATGCTTCGGCTGCTGAACCGATGGTCGCAGGTTCGATCCCCGCCGTGGCGGTCGCGTTTTCGGTGGAGGCAAAGCGGTTCAGGCCCGTGAACTGTGCAACCTCAGGACACGTTGAAGGACACCAGCTGGTCAACATTTCCGGAGACGTCCACTACGGCGTCGCTCATAATCATACTGTGATTTTGGTAACTTAAACCCGAGGTTTTATTATTATTATTATTATTATTATTATTATTATTATTATTATTATTATTATTATTATTATTATTATTATTAATAATATTATTATTCCATTATTGCTACGCTGCACGTTGTTTTATTTATACGCAACCGTGCCTACGCAGCCCAGAAATTTAGAGTCCACGTTAAATGCACCCTCTCCCGGGGTTATAACATCAGTCAGGAAAATATTCTCTGTCACTTACAGATTTCGATTTTTTTTTTTTTTACTAAGAATCCGGGCATTTTTTCCAGCCCCAGAGCTCAAGCTGTGAAAATTTGCTTCAGTGGCTCGAATAGGTCTTAACGGAATGTTTATTTATTTATTTATTTATTTATTTATTTATTTATTTATTTATTTATTTATTTATTTATTTATTTATTTATTTACAAGTACCTTACAGGCCTCGCAGATGCATTGTGTAAGGGGGGTCGATACAAAGTAATAACAAATAGGGTTAACAGTCAGTAAGAACAATGTAGTAGGTTAACAACAGCAATATTATGTCTCAGTACAGAAGTAGTCGTATGTATTCCACATGAATAGGTAAGTTTAAAACATGTTGAAAGATATTTGAGATATATAAATACTTTGCTTCAATATACTGTGGGAGGATGAGAGATGAGTCAATGCCTGCTTCCTTTTTTTTCTGTTCTTGTGGCAGAGAAGACGTTGCATCCGTGGCGAAACAGCGATCGGTTACCCCGGCCTTCGAGACGCAAGACACCGCGCTCTCCCAGACCCACATTACGAGTGCGCCAGCCGAGTCAACATTCGAGTGGGTGGCCTCAGAGATACCCGCATCCGGACAGGTGAGTGTACCGAACGTTCAACCCCCACCCCACACACACGCACGAAATCGCGTGGGCCTGAATTGTGGGCTTATTGTTTTCATTCAACACAAACAATATTAAGGCATTTCTTTTTAAACGAAGCTTTTATTAGCTTAGGATTTCTGTGTGCTAAAAAAAAACCGTCGCCAGGGCCGTGTACATATCAAAGTTGCATCTTTTGCCGATGTCACTTGTCATGACACGTTGCCAGACTTCATTGCAACTTTGCCTTGTTACCTTTCGCTGTTTTACGTATGACCGTCGTTATTGCTTGCAGAAACAACAGTTCACCTGGGTTAAAGTAAAGAAAGAAGGAAATAAATAAATAAAGAAAGAACGAAAGAAAAAGAAAAAAATAAAGAAAGCAAGAAAGAAAGACAGAAAGAAAAAAAGAAGAAAGAAAGAAAGAAAGAAAGAAAGAAAGAAGGAAAGAAAAGTGAGGTGAGGTTAAGTAAGGCGAAGTAAATAACGTAACGTAAAATCAAGTAATGTAAGAGAAGGTATAGTAATGTAAAGCAAATAGGTTAAGTAAGTAACTATAGGGTAAGGTAAAGTGAAGAAAGAAATAGCACATAAGGCGTTTCTACGCCAACTGGCCCGCGGGCCTACATTGCCGAAGAGGGATAGCTCCTATTTTTTTTTTCACCGTTATTAAGTGGCATAAACTGAGCCTAACTTTTCTCCTATACTCCTCCCCCCCCCCCCCCTTCTTTTATATTCATCTCAGGCGAAATAAAGTAAGCAACCACGCGCGGCGGCGCACTGCGTTCGGCGGTTTCCGCGAGAACAGCTCCGGCGACGCATCCGGCGTTCGAACGCGGCTCGCGGGCAAACCCCAGGACGAGCGACAGGCCGCCACGGGCGCAAGAACAGAACGCAGACCCAAGTTCCTCGAGTTGGCGTTATTCGTCGACGAGAAGGCATACCTGAGCTTTCGGCACTTTCTGGGCAGCGAACAGAGGCTCATGGATTTTCTCCTGGGCTACCTGAACCAGGTATGCATCCCGCGTGGCTACCGGTTAGCCGAGCTGGTGGAGTAATTGTAGTAGTAGTAGTAGTATTAGTAGTAGTAATAGTAGTAGTATTAGTAGTAGTAATAGTAGTAGTAGTATTAGTATTAGTAGTAGTAGTAGTAGTAGTAGTAGTAGAGACGTTTTTCTTTGTTGTTGTTGTTGTTGTTGTTGTAGTTGTTGTTGTTGTTGTTGTTGTTGTTGTTGTTGTTGTTGTTGTTGTTGTTGTTGTTGTTGTTGTTGTTGTTGTTGTTGTTGTTGTTGTTGTTGTTGTTGTTGTTGTTGTTGAGGTGTGAGTGAGAAGTCCGAGACGGTGGAGCCCTCAGTCCGGCGCACAATTTGCTGCTGCGAGCCGGCTGACCTGGCGGGTCTTTGCTGTTCGCCAATGGCTGTTCTAAAAGAGCGGTTCCCCACTGGGAGGAATTCAATAGAATCGAATAGATGGGTCCAGTGGTTCGGGGTAATCCCACGCTTAATTGTACAAGCACAAGCTTGGTTTCGTGTCGGCAGCACAAGGACATTTGTGAGAATATTGTGCACAGGGACCTTCCTGTATACTGGTTGGTTTCTGCTTCGATCCCCGGACCAGGTCGAAATTTTCATCGACTATTAAGCCTTACTTGATGAGAAGCCCCTAGGTATTTCCTTGTAGCTTTGTGTGACCAGTGAGGGGATGGCGATTCCTCCTTTCCAACACCTTTTCGGATTACGCAGAAATGATGTGCTACGATTTCTGCAAAGTGACGCCAGGAAGTGCATTTACAAAATGTTGCCACTATGCGGAAGACGGCTTTTTTTTTTTTCCTTTGTGTTCGCACAATCAGTGAGGCGGAAAAAAAGAAACAAATTTCGCATACAACTCATTGGATTGCGCTTCAATTAAGACATCGTCGCTATTTTCGTTACGTAGGACTTATTGGCTGCAACATAGTATTTAGCATATAATTAACTTTTTTTTGGTATATTTTTTGCGTAATATTTATTTGCACCCTACGCATTCTCCAAATAATATTCTGTTCCGAAATCGTACATTGCAGACCATCGTAATGCGTTACATAATGAGGACGGAAATGGCATCGTCAACGGCAGGTTTTCGAGTTTGTGTGAAACAAACTGGTTGCTTGTGATTGACCTCACGTATAGTTACGTGGAATACAGCATAACTGATTACCTTCTTCGCTGAAATATTACCAGCAGTGCTTGTTAATGCTTGCTGATATTACCTGTTAAGCCAGTCAACCAAAGAAAATCAAGCGCCATTGCTGAAAATACAGTGCTTCTCTCTGAAATTTAACGCTGTATAAACGATTAATTTTTTAGGGGCGAAGCTCTTTCGTTACCGCGCCTATAGAACTTGGGTCGCCGGTGACCCATAAGCGCCGCGCGAAAATTTAAAAATACCGGTGCTCCTATGGACTAGCTGCGCCATCAAGTGCATTTTCTAAGCACTACTCTTCCATTTTCTGTGTAGTTTGTTTTTTTTTTCCGCGTGGCGGCGATTTTTATCGCCGGTTCAAAGCGCAGTTCGCTTGTTTTGTTTACGAAGATGGCTGACGATGCCGGACCCTCACCTGAATGACGTCTTTCTGGCAATTGAATTCATTCACAACTTAAAGCTTTGAGATAGGTTCTAGAGCTTGTGGCTACTATTAGACATTGTAATAAGATGCTATATTTGTTGATTACACATTTACAACTTTTTTTTTATGGTAAAGGCATACCTTACGCTGTTTTGGTGCCGTGTTCAGAGTTATGTTTCGTGTTTGAGATTTTTTTCCCGAGTTTCTATTCAGCACAATTTTTTAAAATGCCCATGGTTCAACAGCTCATTTATCTATTTATTTAGTAACATTTATTGCATTGTTCTGTTTGAAAAATTTGTAGAGGGAAAGAATATAATTGTGGCACTAGATGGAACAAGGCAGTTTCCACTAGGCAGAAACAAAAAATTTGTAACTCATATGATTTGTGAGCTAGGCAGCTCAAACCTTCTTCTTTTATAGACCATTGATTTGAAAACATTTTGTATATTTCAGGTTATTTTTCTTTTTTTCTGATTTTGTGTAATAAGCACCGAATTAGAAATGTTCTATGCACTTTTCAATAAATCTTGTTTTTCAAGAATATTATTACTAGTTACCCCCAAATATTTCTTTTTAAAAGTAGTATCATTAAAAATTACGTTTATTTAGCTTTCTATTGATATATAGCATGGCACTGTAACAATGATAATCTCTACTACAAAAATAATTACAAAAACCTACATGTAGGCATATACGTATGTCGGCATATACGTAGTAACGACCTCACAGCATATCCACGGAGTGAATGATGATGAGTGGGGTGAAACTTCGGAGGGTTTTATCGGCAAACGGTGAATCAATCATCCGCTGGCCGCGTCCGTCCGTCGTCTTTCTGTCTGTCCATCTGTTTGACGCACGGACAGATGCACAGATGGGCGGATGGACGCACGGATGGACAGATGGACGCACGCGCGGACGGATGGACGCAAGAGCGCATGGACTGACGGACGCTTCGGCCCACTTATCATCATTCACTCCGTGGATATGCTGTGATTTTGTTCATCACTGGCACATGTTTCTCTCGACGCTATGAATGCGTTTAACAATTTCTCCGTCACAGTGGTAGCCCCTAAAACACTGACAGTTTTTAACGAAATTTCCAGTTGCTTCTCCTGCGTGTTTGTCAATTAAGCGCTTGTCGGCATATACGCTGTCTCTTATGAGCTGCCACTGTTAAAGGTTCCGTGCCCCACTTGTTTATGAGTGCATGTATTGCACCTCTATATCATAGAAGAGCACGGCTCTCGGCCGCACATAGGGAAATGGTCGTGAGGGCATTTGCTGGGTGCATAGCGTAAGCATGTCAGGTTTACACTGTAGTTTATGAAAACTTTTTGCGCACAGGTTCAGGCAATCTACGTTCAGCCATCCCTGAGGGAGAAGATCTACGTATCACTCGTTCATCTCGAACTGCAAGAAACACAGCCGGTGAGTTTGCGAGGAGCATTCCAACTGGATGTTCCTGGCTGCGGCCCGTAACTTATTCCGTACCGTTGTGAATAAGAGTGAGTCATCCCTAAAAGAACCAACAGAGAAACACTCCTTGCATCATCATCATCATCATCGTCGTCGTCGTCGTCGTCGTCGTCATCATCATCATCCTCACTACGTCCACTGCAGGACAAAGGCTTCTCCCGTGTTGTTCCGCCAGTCAACTCGGTCTTGTGCGTGCATGTAGGCCACCTCTGTGCAGTATCTGGCCACTACCTCTCGCATGTATACGTTAGTTAACTCCTTGCATATCCATTCACAAATAGATTGAAGTGACGAACTTTGGTTTCGCCGTTCACTCTCTGGTATGGTATTTCGTCTTAATCGTGTTTCAGAGCAGTTTTTCTTAATAGAAACTCGATAATTAAGTGTTTGGATATTATCGGTAAATAACGTACTATGTACATTTAGAGATATAACACACCAAGAAAAGTTAGTGGAACAAAAGTAATGGCTTACTAGCTTCGCATTTTTTTTTGTGTGACATCCAAGCATGAACTAAGCAGTTGCTACGAAAGCCGGACCATCTCATCGAACACATGCAAGAACTGTTGCTTTCGACTGAGAACATTCACAAAGGCTATCATATTGAGCATAAGAGCGTCCTTGCAGGGTATCCCCGTTGTAAGAGAAGTTACAACACGTAATGGCAGCCTTAGTATTTTATTAAGTGGGGTTGCTCTTGAAGGGGCCCTCCAACACCTCTCCAAATAACCGTTGAATGGCTTCATTTAAGAAGTTTATTGCCTCACGAAATGATCGCCCGCAAAATATTTCAGAATTCGTCTCAAGAACGAGAATTGGTCGCACGCTGTAATTGCTTTCTGTATTGCCCCGTCCCTACTATTGCGCTATAGACTATTTTACGGGTGGGTTTAAGTGCCGCTATGTTGAGCTGTGTTTGGTATCTTTAGCAACTAAATGAACAGTGTTACAGTAGACGCACACGCATGAAAACGATCGGGTTGGTTCATACATTGTATCGTGGCATTATTAATTCATGTGGCGAAATACAAAACAACAAAAGCATCGCTTTAACAGCACAAAATGGCGCCGCCCAGCTGTCTTAGGAAAAATTGTCTATAAGCTATGTACGTAGGGATGGCATGGGGAAAAGAAGTTACGTCACGAGCGCGTCACAACCTTGATCACTTTTCTTTTTGTTGGAACGTGGGGTGTACTTTCAGTGCCAGCACAGCTCACGATGCTCAAACCAGCCAATCACCGAGGATCAGGCTTATGGCGTGGTCATTTGGGTATATGTCATCATTTGTAGAAACAAGAGCGAACGATTCCTAGCTGGCTTGAGAGCTAATTGTAAATACGAGGCCGCGTGCTGCCCTCTAATGTATAGCTCTCGTATTCTCAAAATCCTCGACTACAGATCAGCGGCATTTTGTGACCATGCTGCAAAAGTCTAGGGGCTGCAGAAGTCTAGCGGGGCCCCTTTAAGGCACAACACTTCGTGTGCATTACACGTGTTCTTCAAAGCTTGTGTTGCGTATGAATTGAAACCGTGAAACCAGTCATGGCATCACCATGCATGAACCTGCCACGACCATTCCAAGTTCGTTTGTATGACTTCTTTCCGTTTCACTTGTGCGAAAAATGAAAGTGGGCGTCTGTGAACGCATCATTTCCAGGCTGACTTGCCGCACTACAACGGCAACCGGGACATGCTGCTGTCTTCTTTCTGCAAGTACCAGTCCCGCAGGAACCTCGCGGAAGATTCCCGCTGGGACGCTGCCCTCTACCTGTCAGGGTAACCTTCTCTTTTTTTTTCTATTCTAAAGCTGAAGGTGTCGTTCAACAGATAGCGGTTATAGGCCAATGTATGCGATCAATTCTTCCTTATCAGTACAATAGAACGTGTCTCATAAACTATGGCTCATAACCTGCAATAGTCCGTAGGTCCCTGAATACTTGTGTCGTTTTTTTTTTTTTTTGGTGTGAGGCACCTTTTGGGTCTCGGTCAGCTTGGCGACGTCTAATGTCTTTGCGGTGTGTCGATCAGTAAGCGCCCACCACATCCGGGTGGGTCCCACTACTCTACGCCGGTTCCCTAAAAATGAACAAGGCTACGGTTAGCCCATCAAACGGCCGACGACCTTAGTGCAGCTGGAAGACAATTCCCTGCTTGCCTTATGGAACTGAAACCGGACATGTTCAAAAAGAAAAAAGAAGAAACACCAGAGGGCCAGCTGCATTCCGACGCATTTTTCAGAAATTGTTAGCGTAGCGGAAACACCCATCCCTACATGCCCGGTTTCAGGCTTGGCACGTCTTCACGCCCCATCGAAGGAATCTCTCTCACAACACTGCTTGCATCACCCTTCCACAGGTTTCACGTTCTCTTTTTTTGCATGACACCCGCCTCCTCACTTTCTTTATCAAGTTATCTTCGTTAAGCAGTTTTATGCGCCGATATTACAAAAATTCTTCGCATACATGCTTTTTCCGTGTTCCTTGGTTCATCGTCATAGCCAGATTAGATTCTACTCGGTTTCTTTTAACTGTGGTGCCGTTTAAGCTCGCCTTTGGTCTGTGACGCACGAATAGAAATACTCATTATCATCATCATTACCTGGCACGCGCGCTTTCTTCCTCAGCTCTAATTGGTGAGAGAACAACCACGTGGACAGAGAAAGAAGGGGAAACAAAGTTTTCTTGCGAAATGGAAAGTCTGGACGAGGCGGGATTCGCAGCCGCGCTCCCACGATTCGAAGGCGAGCGTCATAACAACTCGGCCATCTTGGCACGCTATCGGAGCATAGCATAGCCTTGTATCATAGAGATGTAGCCTTGTATTGTAGCCTTGTATCATAGAGCAAGATGGTCGGAAACTAAAATGAGAATAAGGAGGACAGATGTTAGGTGAGGATCAGGAAAGGGGTAGAGGTTAGCGCATAGCATTCAAACTATGAGAATGAGAGAAAGAGAGAGAAAGAGTGAGGATTAACGAAAGAGAAATGAGAAAAAATAAACAGAGAGAGAAGCACAGATATAGAAGCAGCGGAAGCAAACGAGCAAGGGGGAGAAAATTAAAATTATCGATGAGAAAGAAAGGTACACAGAGCAAGAAAGAGAAAGAAAGTTAGAGAGACAGATAAATAGAATGAAACACCTGTGTTTATTTCTCTTTGCGCTCCTTTCCTTTTCTTTCTGTATCTTTTCTTTAAAAATGCATACGAAAAAAAAATGGCCCGAATTTACATGTTGCACTTTAATTGTCGTTGAAAGACGATAGTCTTACGTCTGGAGAGAGTGAACAAAACGTTTATTTGATGGTCTGCGCAAGAAAATTGGTGAATGGTATTCTGCAGGCGCTGCGTTAGAGTGCCGCGAGCGTGTGGCGGAGGTGAACGAGCGCATCTAGGCACGTTAGACGCTAGTGCCATCTGGCAGTTATCTTCGAAGACGAAGGCGCGCAGCCCGCGGAGAAAGATGCGCGCCAGTCTCGGAGGTGATAAGGTGTAGAACGCAAAGCGACGGGCAGGTGCCACCATCGTGACGCCGTAGCAAAGCGTTGGAAACACCTTTTTCGAGCATCGTGTTTCACTGTCAGCGCAGCGCGATTAAACGCTACATTCCTTAGAGTTACTTGTGCGTGCCTCTTCTAGTATAAAGGCAGACGTAGAAAGCATCGAAGCGTTGTTGTGGTGCCTCAGATATGCGCCATAATTGATTTTTAATTAACAATCGCACAACTATGAACGCTCAACCTTGAGCAATATTGGTGGGCGCTGCGGATGAGGTTGGCCGTTTGGTGCCGTTTGAGGTATCGTTAGGGCGGACAAACAGCCAATTGTACAGACAGACAGACAGACAGACAGACAGACAGACCAAATTTTTTTGTTGAAGGTCCCCAAGAAAGATCGTGTTTAAAAATGAGACAGCAGACTGAGAAATAAAGAAAGAGCGCATGAAGAAAAAAAAGAGAGAGATAAACTTAAAGGGCCAGTCAACAGGCTCCGAAACGCGCAGGATAAGCTCGCGCATTCTTCCTGTGCGTGACCAATCTCCTTCAACGCGCAGTGACGTAGCACGCAGCTCGTCGATTGGTCTAAACCAGGTATCAATAAAGAGTAACTTAGTCAACGTCACTGATCGCCGAGTTGACGTCACTGCGTGTGGAAGAATGGTCAGGCGTACGAAAGATGCGCGAGCTTTTCCTGCGCGTTCCGGGGCCTGTAAAGCAAAGCAGGCCGCTCATCTTACTTTATTGTTGGCACAATGAGTGCGAAGCTGCCTTAACTTTTTTAAAGGCGATAGTCTTTCTTAGGGACCTTCGACGCAAAAATTTTAATCTGTCTGTCTGTCCACTCTGAACGGCATCGAGTACTTGAAACGGCCGACCCTATCCGCAGCGCCCACCAATGTTGATCAAGGTTGAGCGTTCATGCTTGTGCGATTGCCAATTAAAAAGCAATTATTGCGCATGTCTGGGGCACCATAACACCACGTATATATTCTGCATGCGCGTCTTTTACTAGAAAAGGCATACATAAGTAATTTTAAGGACCGCAGCGCTTATCACGCTGCGCCGACCATGCAACGCTTGCACGAAAAGGCGAGTGTTTCCAATGCTTTGCTAAGACGAGATGGTGGTGGCACCTACCCGTCGCCTTGCGTTCTACACCTTATCACCTCTGAGATGGGCGCGCACACCCGTCTCAGAGCTACGCGCTTTGTTTTCTAAGAAAACTGCCAGATGGCGCTCATGTCTCACGTGTGACGTGACTTGATGCGTTCGTTCGCCTCCGCTGCACGCTCGAGGCACTCAAAGCAGCGCCTCCAGAATACCATTCACCGATTTTCTTGGGCAGAACATCAAATGATTGTTTTGTTCACTCTCTCCATACGCAAGACTATCGCCTTTCGACGACATTTGGTGATTGACAAGCAGATACGGGGCCATTTTTTTTTCTTTTTAATTCAAGGGAGCTATTTCTTGTGGGAAATAATTCCTTTTCTTGGTCGTGAAATTCCCGAATCGCGTTTTCAGCATTTCCGGAAAGATTTGTGTCTTTGAGTTTGTGTGATCTGGTATGTTTCTTATTTGCTTCATTTCTTTTCTTTTGTATTGGCTTTCCATGCAATATCGAATAAGTCAATCAGTGATTGCGATGCATTCTTTCCTTGTTACAGGCTGAATTTTTTCGCCATTGAAGAAGGACGAAGAAATGTGGTAACGATGGGTGCGTAATATCAGTTACTCTTATAGTACGAAACGGAAAGCAAGCGCCGGTTTTTCGGGACGCTATATATAGAGCGAACAGCGCCAGGGAAAAATATGAGAAAAATTAAGAAAAGTGTACTAGTATCTTATGAATCAAGCAGCGCGAACACTTTTTTGGCCGCAACAGGACTCTCATAAAGGGCCACGAATTACTCCAAGCCAAACTATCTTCCGTAAAGGTCAACGCGAGGAAGAGCGAGAATTCAAGCGCAGCGTGGAGTCGTCATTTCATATCTGTGGTCATCATGTCTTCATATTGATTGATATGTGGGGTTTAACGTCCCAAAAACACCATATGATTATGAGAGACGCCGTAGTGGAGGGCTCCGGAAATTTCAACCACCTGAGGGTTCTTTAACGTGCAGCCAAATCTGAGCACACGGGCCTACAACATTCCCACGTCCATCGGAAATGCAGCTGCCGTAGCCGGGATTCGATCCCGTGACATGCGGGTCAGCAGCCGAGTACCTTAGCCACTATAGACCACCGCGGCGGGGCATCATGTGTTCGTATGCGCTGCACTAAAGCAAAAGATGGGGATGAGAGTGCAGATATAGTGGAGGTCTTGTTGAAAGGTGGAGCTAGTCACTATGGTAGTTACTCGGCAGTACTTTCATATGGAGCTTTTGATAAATAATTAAATAAATACTAATGGATAAATATATTAAAGAACGTACGTTTGTGTCTTTTGATATAAAAAATAGACGAATAGTGAACTGCTTGTTTCTTGCGCCGTTAAAGTGAACTTTAGTAATTAGTATCGTCTTACCGTACCATCGTACCGCCCAAAAGGGGGGTCACTAATGGCCGTAGCAATGCATTCGACAGCTGTGCTAAATGGGGCTCGTAGTTATACCGGGCTTTTATCATGTAGAAAACACTCGCTTACTAATTGAGGTAGCAGTAGAGTCATTTACGGAACATCATGGCTAGCGCAATAGAGCCCCGGTAGAACAACGCTTACGGTGATCGGCTGCTAATCTAAAGGTCGCTGGTTTTATCTCGGCCGCCGCAGTCGCATTGCGGTGAAGGCTGAATAAATGCTAGAGGTTTGTATGCTGTATACGATGTCGGTGCACATTCACCATGGATGTTCGAAATTTACGGAGCCTTCTACCACGCTGTACGGTATGATGGTATTGTATCGCTTCTTTCTTTCTTTCTTTCTTTCTTTCTTTCTTTCTTTCTTTCTTTCTTCTCTGTCTGTCTTTCTTTCTTTCATTCATTCTTTCTTTCTTCCTTTCTTTCTTTCTTTCTTTCTTTCTTTCTTCTTTGTCTGTCTTTCTTTCATTCATTCTTTCTTTCTTCCTTTCTTTTCTGTCTTTCTTTCTTTCTTCTCTGTCTGTCTTTCTTTCTTTCTTTCTTCTCTGTCTTTCTTTCTTTCATTCATTCATTCTGTCTTTCTTTCTTTCTTTCTTTCTTTCTTTCTTCTTTGCCTGTCTTTCTTTCTTTCTTTCATTCATTCATTCTTTTTTTCTTTCTTCCTTTCTTTCATTCATTCTTTCTTTCTTCCTTCCTTTCTTCTCTTTGTTTCTTTCTTTCTTTCTTTCTTTCTTTCTTTCTTTACCCAGCAAGTTCTTTAATAAAAAAAAAGGCTCTAAGTACTCCAAAAGCATATATATTGGTGTAGTCGAACAAGTGCCTCCGTAATAGCGAACTCAGTGAACTAGCTTGAAAAGGGAACTGACAAACCTGCACGGTGCTCGTAATATATTAGGGTCTAAACCTAAATGCGCCGCACGTCTTTGTCTGTTGACTGCAATAGCCCACTTTCGTTTTCCTTCCTGGCGTTAGGACTGGCTCCGGTCGGTGGCGTGTGCCACCGGGACCACAACTGCGTCATTGCCGAGATCGGCACGACGAGCGATGCGGGAAAGCCGTACGCCTCGGCCGGCTGGACGTCGGCCTACGTCGCGGCCCACGAAATCGGACACAAGTAGGTGCAGAATGCGTGTGGTTGTTCTCGTGGGAGTGCTCCAAGTGGACGGCAGTCTGATTCGGCCTCATGAAACAAAGCAGCGATCTTAGAACCAACGGGCAAGAAATCATATGGTCTCTCTTACGTTCTCCTGAAGCCTGTTTCAGTTTATTTAGCAATCTTTTTCAGCAATCATGTTAAAGTACAGTGATTCAATGTTTTCATACAATGGCAATGGTCAACACAAAAACAAAATGTAAATCAGATTAAAAAGTGAAAAAGATGCTAGGACAGGAATTAAAAGCTGCTAAAAAGCAGCTTGACGGGATTCCTGACCCTGAGCAGATTGGCCGCAGACACGCGGTGATGTAAAAAAAAGAAATAAAATACAAGCAAGTAAAACAGAAAAAGTACAAGAACGCATAACACAAGCAAGTAAAATATCAAAAAATTTAGCAGCAAACTTCAACTGCAGACTTAATGTGAAATCGCAAACACTGAAAGAATGCGGCATAATATGGGAGAACAAAGTGAGAAGGAAATACAAAAGAACGTAATTTATATATATATATATATATATATATATATATATATATATATATATATATATATATATATACACTACCTTGAAACAGTATGCATAACGAAAACACAATGCGAGTGACTCAGTTGCGGCAGCAGAACGCGTGAACGCGAGTTTGTTTCACATGCGCCACCTATGCGCATGTGAAACAAACTCGCGGGCAGCGTTTTCCCTACTGCCAGTGTCGGAGCGAGCGAGTTCCTCTCCGCGCGCGCGCCCGCTCCTGGGCTCCACCCCTGCCGTCACGTGCCACCTACGTCACCACTCCTGCATTGGTCGGACGCTCTGCCGTGAGCTGATTTTAACCAATTCCGGAGATGTTCATCGCAGCGTCTAGTAGACGCTCTAGAAACCTCTTTTGGTATCGCGCGACGGCTGCCGCTCCACTTTTGGGACAAAAATCGCTCGTGTGTGAAACAGCCTCAGCGCGACTCGAAGGCGAAAGCATTGCATCTTCTTTTTCTTCTGCTTCGATGTATTGATCCCTCCTCCGCCACCCTCCTAATGCTTGCTGCACCTACCATGGTTTTGCTCTGACTCTGGTATCGGAAGCGTTGCAAGGTTTCTGTACCTCACCTACTTCGACATGGCCCCCGTTATCGGCGAACGGTTGACCAAGCGACGATGCAACGTCATGGGAAGTAATGTTATGTGACGTCACAGTTTCTTGCTGTATGCGAGATCATCATAACGCCACATACATCCGCGGAATTCATCACGTGCGCCATCACGCCGCGTTGTTTTCGCCTCAGTTGCAGCATCGAAGAAGAAGAGTCCCCTTTTCGAAACGTCGGCTCCGGCACACACTTCTCGTTCACGGACCTTTTCATGATGTCGTGATGATTTTTTGCATCACTAGTGTCGATGTACACGCCAACGACAATCAATGCTCGCGTTTGATGGAGTTTAATGATGGTCCTAATAGCATACATATTGACAATGGAAACATTTCATGTGCATTAGCCCCTGTGCTCAAATATATGCTATGAGGGACGGTGTAAGATACGAAAACGCTACAACGCTGTGTGCTTGTGTTAAAAAGAATGATGAAAAATGATGAAACGGATTGTTACATATGTCGCATGCTGCATAATGTGCCCGTTTCACAGCCGACGAAATTCCTGTTAATATCTGGCCTTTGCTTGCACTGGTGGCCGTTTTCAATATTCAATAAATCCAGCTGACTCGTGAAATATTTCGTTTAGAAACCTGCCCGACGTCACCACAATAGAGCACGAGCAGAGCATACAATTCTCGTCTGACTGCCTGGATGTAACGCCACCTCCCTTCTTATTCGTGCGGCTCTGAAGGAAAAATGTACAAGTTCACATCTTTCCTCATTCCTACGTATTGTGGCTCCTGAATACGCAACAGTACCGCCGACCTTATTTTGTTTTGTTTCGGCGGTCCGCGCCGGAATCACCTTTATCAGTTGCCGGGAGCTCACCGTGAAAACTGCAGCGGGGATTCTTTCACCAGCCTGCTTACATAACTTCGCTGCTGCTGCTAGCCTGCTACCTGCGTACTGCGATACGTGATGTGTCGCCTGAACTTGGCACAAACGAAGCTCCAAGACTGACTTATAACTTCTCCGAACGATTCCATCGTTGCATGCTAGTAACACTAGCGTACAGTGTCTATTCAACAGAAACAGTAAAAGATTCGATTGTCTCAAGCATTATATACATTGAAACTTTTAGAGAAAGTATCGTAAGGATCTACTAAACACATGTTCTTGGAACACACGAACCGCTACATGCACCATTCACCGTCGATGGAGCCAAATGTACAAGTGTAAAGCTACCTTAGGCCTTTCTCAAAGGCATCCGTGCTCGATCTGGTAAAAGTTCAGTGTTCGACTCGCTATCAAAGTGGTTGCACTTGAAACGTGCACAGTCGAAAGTTGTTCAAAAGTGTACAGTTAATTTTCTGATTCACCTTTTAAGCAAACGACTATGAGCTAGGTAATATGACTGAAATGATGCCGTGATGTCTTAGGCAAACAACGAGCACTTTCGACCAAATGAAGCACTGACAGCCAACAGCCATGAATGAATGAATGAAAAGTTTCTCGCAGAATCTCCTAGTGAAGCTTAAGCTGTATTCACACGACGGACGTGATCGTGGACGGATCAGTCACGTGACGTGTGACGTAATTCGGATCCCTTTGCAACCAGCATTCACACGACAGGGGAGAATTCGCGCTACAAGCGAGGATTTCTGTATTACTCCCCGAAGATACCAACTATAATTGGGCTTCTGTAGTTGCACGAATCGCTCCGCGCGGACCGAAGCGGGGACGCGAGAACGGGTGACGTACGTTGACGTAGTACGCGGCTCTCAGGGTTAATTCGATATTTCGTCTGTCGGGTGAATACGCGTAGTATTTTGAGGCTGATGCCCAGGCACCTCATCAGATGTAAAAACTGACATTCGGCGTCCCCTAGAGTCGGTGTCATAACGAGCGATGAGAGGATGAGATGTTTGCGCAAAGAAGTCATGGATGAGAGGAATCGCGGGATCACGCCTTCATATCACTTCCTCGTGAGGCCGCAAGTCGCCAAAAAGATGTGTGTCGTCATCATGGCGTCATCATGGCGTCACATGATGACATTATTTTGTGACGTCGTTGCTCAGTCAAACAGGGGTCGATCACGGAGACAGAGCGAAACCAGGTTGCGTACAGAACACCTGCAATGTTTCTAGTCTTGGAGGCTGTGCGTGTGCAAAACAACGATTGGTGCGCACTTCTTTCGGAGCGGGGCAAGGGAGATTCATCCCGTCGATTAAGAGATAAAAAAGATGACTTTCGCCTTCGAGTCGCCTTAGACATTAGGATCCATCATAATTAACGCTTCTTACAATAATACCTGTGTCCTCTATTAGTGCTTAAAAAGAATAATAAATCTAGTCTGTATGATCTGTCCGACTCTTGCCCGATTCCCCCGTAGTGAGTAGGTGCCGATCATTTAAGGGGCATCACCATCATCATCATCATCATCATTAATAATATTATTATTATTAGGCATTAGGGACTATCGTGTGTTCTACTTTAGGCTGCAGCCTTCCCTAGACCACATCATGATCAGGATTTCAAGACGTCTGCACGTAGTGTCATCTGTCGTTGGTAACAGCTGTGGCCTGCTGTAAGTGAACGGGTAAAAGGCAAAAAAAAAATCACAGCATAGCCACGAAGTGAATTATGATGAGTGGTGCTAAGTGTCTTCCTTGCTTCCGCCTATCCATTCATCCGTCCGCGCGTTCGGACGCATGGACAGGTGTACGCACGGACCGACTTCTGCCATCGCCTTGAGAGGCGCCCAGCCAGCGAATGGTGGAGAGTAAGGAGCAAGCGGACGGGAGAGTGGGGCGTCATCGTTCTCGGCTCGGCGTTGGCGTTTCACAGCGGCGTCTCGAACACACAGTTCCGGGTGTTCTTGAGAGGCGCCCAGCCAGCGAACGGTCGACGGTGAGGTGCGAGCGGACGAGAGAGTGGGGCGCAGCGAGGAGAGAGAGCGAACGACGAGAGAAGAAGCGGTGAAACAAGGGGCTTTTCCGAAACAGTGAACCTACTCTCTCCTACACTCTCTCGCACCACATGCTCCGGTTGCTAGGGGCGAGGATAAGCGCGCGCGCGCGCGCAGCTGCTGCTGCTGTTGCAGAGGGAGTGAGAGCGGAAAGATTACACCTGCTGACGCGCAGAGCCAGGCGCGGCGTTGTCGTCGCTCCGCAAATACTATATATATATATACGCACTGCGCCGTGCGCCCGACCGAGTTGCAGAAATTAGGTGTCTTTCCTCATCTTCTAACCACCACTACCACCACCACCACCAAGTACGCGACCCGCCCGGAGTACTGCAGCGCGCCTGTCAATCACCTGTGCAGCAGAATAATTGTTGGCGATTTTTATTCTAACCATAAGCACTTTTTCGATAATGATGCAAATACTACGCATATTATGAACTAAAAGTATGCCATTTCTTGTTCATATGTTACGTTCGGCTAAGCAGGGAAGTCGGAATTATTGGAAAAAAAATGCCGAGAAGTAAAATTTTTCGACCGCAGACTATCAAATTAAACGTGTGTCTGTACGGCCAAGTCATACACCTGAATTGCGTGGAAGGTCCTGACGTCACGTAAATGAGTACCAAGCACTCTAAATCGATTCCCACTTTTTCTATGCAGGATTTCGAAAATTCTGCGTACGTTGTTCTCATTGTTCGCAGAATTGACTGCTTTCTAACCTACCGAGTTTTTTTTACTGGTCGAAAGGAATAATGGGACAGCGTATTGCTCTCCCACAGTAGAGTGCATCTTACTCTTACATAGAAACCATCGTGAGAGCTCAACAAAACGTGACACACAAGAAGAAATAGGCGAGGACATGTGTGTTGTGTTTTTGGGGCTCTCACGATAGTTTGTATGTCAAAGCACCACCTCGCCCAACAGTCAACTCTTTTGAAGTCTTACTCTTGATCGTCGAACATTCGTTCTAAACGCACGGTGACCGCTCTATTTGGAGGTCACATTTATTTTCAGGTTGTAACCGACTACAGCTTCGTTTTTCGACCCATTTATGTGCAGAAGCGAATGCTTGTGTCTTTTGTTTATTCATTTATTTTAAATTGCTGCGTTCGCAGTCTTGGCATGCTGCACGATGGGTGGCCTCAAAACGACTGTCCCTCAAACGGATTCATCATGTCTCCGAGTCGGGGCACCAAGGGAGAGACCACGTGGTCTCCGTGCAGTGCCCTCGTCGTCCACAAGATGGGGTTCGTACCACCACACGCTTTTCAAGTCGGCAATACAGTGCGATGGCTGAGCGCTAAAAAATGCGCGCTTTAATAATTTGCTAGAGACGATAACGCAGTGCTAAGCGTTGAGTGAAGCTCTGTAGCCTTATTAAGAGAAGCAAAGCAAAAATATTATGTTTTGCTGCAGAAGGCTCAAAGCAAAGCCGCACTTGGTTTTAGCCACAGGAGTGTTTCGACGCTGCATGTTATTTCCTTCAAAACAAACTGAAGGCTAAGATTATCTAAGCGAACCTTATTGATCAGCGTTACATTTATTTAGGAGCTTGCTCGGCAAGCCTTTTATGCTTGTACATCCGGTAGTCTTCCGCGTGCACACCAGTGTTGCCAGTGGACACTCGTCCGGTCTGGCGCCGCTCAGGCGTCCTCTATGCTGATTTACACAATGTTCACTAGATGGCGTGCCTCCAGTCAAGACGTCGCTATTCGATGGCCCGCGTATTATACCGCGATGGCCCGCGTAGGTATTACTAGGCGGAAGCTCAGGTGAAGATGAAGGTTTGCGGAGAAGAAAAAAACCTTGAACATGGGCTATCACTGGAGCAAACGTTTGGGCAAGTAGTCATGTCAGGTTGTTGCCTTCAAAAGGACTTCACCACTTGACAAAACGTTGGCTACAGCGATACCAAGGATTCACCGAAGATTTAAGCATTTTCAATTTCGTTATCTTTACTGTAACACTTATTATGCAGGGATCGGACGTGCCTTTCGAACCGGCCCGACGGAGTGACCGGGCTGCCGGACCTAGAAGATCCGCAGAGCCTTCCTGGACAGGAATGGGACGCCCACGACCAGTGCAAGATATTTCTCCGAGACCACGATGCCCAGCTCTACAACACGAGTCTCATAAACGTCAGTATCTTAGAATAGCGAAAGAATATGCATTGAAACTGTCACACTTGAGCGGTGACACCTGAACCCAAGCATTTCTTTTTCTTGCTGCAGAGCGTCTGTGAGCAAGTCATCTGCAAGACGCACAATCGCCAGGGGTACTACAAGGCAGGACCAGCTCTGGACGGTACTTACTGCGGCGGCCACAATGTGTGTGAGCTTCAACGTTAATATAGTCCACTCTCTTCAATGAATGATGCATGACCTGGTTGTTGAAACACCGCCTTTGTCCTTCTACCTTAGCGCGCACTGCTTTATATAGTCCATCCTTTGGGCCGCAACCACTGCTAGCATCGACCCATGTATACCTTGGTTACGCGCGCTTTCGAAGAACACTGTACTCTCTTCTCTACATCACTTCTTTATATATATATATATATATATATATATATATAAATATATATAAATGAGAAGAAAGAAAAGTGGGTGAAAAGATAACTTGCCGTGGGCAGGATCCGAACCTGCGACCTTGGGATAACGCGTTCGATGCTCTACCACTTGAGCTACCACGACAGCTATCCCCCCAGCCACATTATTTGGTATCTATGTCAATTTTTTTTAAACGTGGGAGTGTCATTCAGCGCCACTAGTAGCCATGGCGGCGAGTGTAGGAACACTCTTTATGAGCCTGTTTGGCGTCACGTAGCACGTGAACTTATTACTAACTGGCAGCTGACCAAATAGTCCCTCGTATACAACCTAAAGGCACCAAGTCTGCCAGTACAAGACACTCGTTAATGAATAAGGGAAACAAGTGTATATTTAAGGGCTCGTTTTTCGTGTTTTTACACAGTATTAACGAGATCTAACAGACAATAATGCCAAGGAAGGTATAGGGGAAGTTATTAGGCCAATTGTAATGTAAATGAGAAGAAAGAAAAGTGGGTGAAAAGATAACTTGCCGTGGGCAGGATTCGAACCTGCGACCTTTGAAACGCGATACCTTACTTGGCATTATTGTCTGTTAGATCTCTATAATATTGTGTTAAAACACGAAAAGCGAGCCCTTAACCCTTAAGTATACACTTGTTTCTATTATATATATATATATATATATATATATATATATATATATATATATATATATATATATATATATATATATATATGTGTGTGTGTGTGTGTGTGTGTGTGTGTGTTACATACTGTTCATACATACTGTATATGTCACTGTTCGTATATGTTACTACGTTTGCGCTTTATATGACTTTAGTTCTTCACTGCGAATCTTGAGTAACCTGCTAAGGCGGACACCCTAACTTTGCTCTTGTCGCCTAAAACCCAAGAGCCTAGCTTTGCTTCTGCGTATTCGAACCTTGTACGTTACCCAATATGTGAGTAAAACTTTTCTTGTTCATGTGATGCCTTACCGCACGCATGAACTGCGGACTGCAGCACAGGCGTGTCTGGAGGTTAGGGTCTCGACCAGTCCCGCCCTCTTTACCGGAATTGTTTCAATGTTGCATCTGTATATGCAAATGCACTTACAGACACCCGCATCAACCTACACAAAGTGTAGTTGAGTGCCCCCCGCAAAAACGTTTCGGGCTATGCCACTACCCGACCAGACCCGCCCTCTTTACCAGAATTGTTTCAATGCTGCATCTGTATATGCAAATGCACATACAAACACCCACATCAACCTACACAAAGTGTAGTTGAGTACCCTGATGGCTTCTTCAGATGGCATTGGATGGTCCAGAGTGGCAGTGCAGGGTCAGAGCTGAGAAGTAGGCTTTCCGCTGCTCTTCACAAACTGTTTTGAGACCCTGCAGTCGAATGAACGCTATTTGCTTGTGTAGACAGTAAAGTTGGCTGTATCTGTCTAGTAGATAGACGTCTTTTCTGTCGGATGCCGCTAGAGTGCGGCAAGTGGCAAACCTGGGTGAATAAAGATTAGGACGCTGGTATTGCTAACAAGCTTAAGCTCCGAGGGATGCGGTCATCGTTAGTTGGCAGCCTTTACGCATGCGCAGTTGTGCCTTCACGGTCAGTGTACGCCCGCCCGCGCGGGCTTGATGAAGACCGTGGCTGGTGGATGGGGTCCCTGGAGACGCGATTCCTGTCACTCTGGCTGCCTGGACAACGCCAAGGGATTCAGCCGGGATCGCCGAAGATGCGACCGTCCAAAGCCACGTAATACGGCCGCCACCTGTCAAGGAGACTCGGTCAGGACCAGACTCTGCGACGACTCAAAGGTCAGTTCAAGATTAACAAATCTCGTTGATGCCTAGCAGTAAAAGCGGCAATGTAACAATCAGATTCTCTATTTTTTCATTGAATTACATCAAAAAAAGATAGAAGACTAGTGGTATGCATTTAGCTTCTATACATCTCTTGACAATACCTCATAGAAGCATGTGCACACGTTTCACAATAAATACAACAGTTCGAATACATAGAAGTTTGCAGCATGTTGTCATAAATCTAAATGTACAATAACAACAACACAAAAGGATACGTTTACAAGCCGCTCCGAAAAAGCATAAGGCGGCATAATAACTTATCTACTACAGAAGAGTTCCCATGCAAAGTATAACAAATCAGTTACCAATATCAGTCATCAATTTGGACGTACGACCTACAATACAGAGAATACTTCATAGAAAATAATGCACTTGTAGCAACAACAAAAAAAGCAATCATGCACTAGAAGGAAATGTACAGTAACAACATTCTGTACAATAAACTTATGGTTACATACACTACAATGAAGAATACTTTGAATAGATCAATTGTAAGAGCATGCGCCGCTTAGAAATTCCATCTCTAGCTGTTTCTCAAAATATTTCTTATGAAACCTACGTATTCGTTACAACGGCCTTGGTAATGATTATTCTGTCAATTGAAGCTCCACGAGTCGATTCGAATGCTGCGTATACACAATAAAACATTTACGTAAATGATCTTCAATCAGTACTGATGTGAGCCTCGCCGTGGTGGTCTAGTGGCTAAGGCACTCGGCTGCTGAACCGCAGGTCACGGGATCGAATCCAGGCTGTGGCTGCTGCCTTTTAGATGGAGACGAAAATGCTGCAGGCCCGTGTGCTAAGATTTCAAACAACCCCAAATGGTTGGAATCTTCGGAGCCCTCCACTACGGCGTCTCTCATAATCATATCGTGGTTTTGGGACGTTAAACCCACAGATTATTAACGCGATAGCGTTAAAGAGCTCGTGTCGCAGAAAACCCGCCGCCGGCGTCGGCCCCGTTGGTTGTGAGCGAAAAATCGTCTGCCGTCTGTGACCGAAAAATCAAGTTACCGAGATAGCCGCGGGAGGCCGCTACTTGTCCACGCGTGCACGTGCGCGATCACACTGAAAAAAGCCTCGAATTCGAAGAAAAAAAAAGTGCTCAAAGTCACGAGGAGCGGTATAGTTTCTTTGCCCTGCCACCCCTCTTTGCTTAGCTTCAAGCGCTTTTGTCGGGACGATAGAAGAGATAATGCAATTGCAGCATGCGACAAACCTTTGTAACTCCACTCGCACTGGACGGATTCTTAAAGCTTTTGCGGCGTTAAATTCGTGAGGCAATAAGCTTTTCTAGTGAAATTAATTTCATGGTTATTTGAAGAAGTGTTTCAGGGCCCCTTTAACGCATTTTGTTCGACAGGTGTCACGACAAAAACGAGCCCATTCGGCGATAATAGCGCGCGTTGGTTCTATCTACAGTGTGCGGGTTTGTGTGCGAGCGTGTGTATGTAACAAAACATATGAATGAGTATGCATTTAGTGGTTGAAGAGTGCACTAGGGGCCGGATTTCGCTATCGCGTTCAACTCTTACAGGGGAAGCTTAAGGGTCCCCCAATTTTTTCATTAGTAATACTGACGGGAGAAAAAAAAAACCGGCGAAAACTCAAGGAAAAAAACGAAGAAGGAATATTCAATAGTTCACCATCGCAGGACGTCCATCCACTGTATTTACACATTCAAGTGTATTTAAACCCCTTATGCTGCGAAATCATTTGGGACAGTAATTAAGAGTGTTAAATTAGATTTGTAGTTAGTGAAGATAGCTCGTTCTATCAAATAGGAAAATTGAAGTACTCCATCGCGGCTTTGAGAATTTGAAAAAGCAGCATGTAGCAGCCTGTATTGCAAATTAATAACACTGACCCAAATTTCAGCGGTGAAACCAAAACGCAGAAGAGCATCACTGTTATGTTTTTCTGACGAGTTCATAATTAGTGGAACGTCTTTGTATCAACCAAAGTGGTTGTTTGCGTGGGCGGGCTGCTCTTGCGATTATAGCACGCATGTTTGCACATACGTTGATGAACGTGAAATAACCACACCTCTATAATCGTCGTCTTCAACAGTGACGTAATTCTGGTCGTCACCTTGCTGCAGCGCCCATCGCCAAGTCGGTTTCTGTTTCGCCATTGAAGTTTGCTCTATTTCATTATGCCACATTACATACTAGAAGCTGCTCTTTTCCATTGCATGGCTGCGATGGGTTATTCGCGTAGAGAATGATCGAGTCTCTTATTTTACTTAATCACCTATAACTTCACTTATTAGGAAGTTCACTATTCTAACTTTCTTAATTACTGAGTAGTCCTAAATGATGTCTTTAATCATACTAAGATGCCTGCCACTGGAGGAAAACAATTGTGAAAGCAAAATGTCTGCTGCTACGGAAAGATCGCTTGTGGAGGCAACGAGCAGATATCGCATTTTTCTGTAGTTGTTGTTTTTGAGCATTTTTGACACATTTCTTGAAACATCTGGCATATTCACTGCATTCCCAAGCGCTACAACACTCCTTTAGGGATCTCGGCTCCTGTGTTCTTATTCAGAGCAAGAAGCAGAAAATATATCAATTTCGTGTCAGTGCTTCGTTAATGATATTCACCTCTTTCCATGGTACTTTTTCACACTAAGCATTGTGGGAGGTGTAAACTGCGTTAAAAAAAGATATTGTATAGGCTCACATTATTAACAACATAGTTGACGTGTGGAAACAACTGCGTGTGTCGCTGGTTTCGCTACACTGTGAAAATTTGAATTCGCAGCCCGCAGAGCTTCATATTAATATTTTTTTATTATTTATTACATTCTGCAGACCCTTAGGTCCAAGCAGGTGGGCAGTTACAAGGGGACATAGTTGAAACAATAAGTGGCATAAATATTGTTTGGGGTGAGTGTGTCATACACTCATAGTGAACACAAGGAAGGAAATAGCAAATTATTTCACAATAACGCATTTACCGGACAAAAGAGGAAAAAAAGCACCACAAATTCGTACTTCATATGTTGTGCGATTAAAGTAAAAATAAATACATAATAAATGCAAAACAATAAACACAATAATTTTCACCGTTCAAGCCAAGAAAGTAATGAATACATAAGTATACAATAAGTAGAGCACATACAAAATGAAAAAGAAAACGAAAAGAAAAGAAAAACGCTGTAATAAAAGATCGGAAACGTGAATTTTTCAGGACAATGCTATTGACCGCGTTGCATATCTCGCGGCCAATGCTCCTTTGTCACCGATCCCGTGTCCCGTAAACCTTTGTGGCAAGTTGTACGAAGCGCATCATCGACCACGCGCGTTTATTCATCTGACAGGGCGCTGCTGAGGGATAAGCGGCTCAAAAATACGTCGTCTCGGAAACCCCGACTTTCTAACGCAGTTGTGACGGCGCGCACAAATGCATCTCTGGAAATAACTGATCCAATCGCGTGAGAAAAATCAGGTTTAAAACGTGACGCTTCATACGTGAACAAGGCATGGGACCTGAAGCCTACGTATCGCCTGTCAGATGCTCTTTAGCGATGGTGTCGCTCTGCGCATATGCCGCCTGCCGGTTCCCTATGCAGAATGTGATGTTTCCGTCACTATACGCTCCCTCATTCAAATACGATGAATGCAGATTGCCGAATGGGGCCGTTAACGAGGCAATGAATCGCGAAACTAACTGTCAGATGAAGTAGCTTAAAATAGAAACGAAAAAGACGTGTCTTCCTGGAAGGCGTAAGGTTCTTCCATCACTTTGGTGTAGTAACAGAGCAACACAACATCGGTGGTCGGCCGACCGCCCCGAAAACAGGCGTAGGGCTTGGGTTCGCTGCCCGGACCGGGACAGATATTTCTTTAAAAAACAAGGCTTCCTTTGTTAGAAATCTTTAGGGGTTTCGTTGTATAGCGTCGGCTACAGTTGGGTGGTTGTCGTATATTCTTCGCATATTCCTTCGGCCCCCTTGCGGAATTCGGTGGAACTCATTTGCAAGAGTAACGCAGCATTGAAGAGTCTACGAACAATAGACTAACGTTAGCACAAAACCCGCTCCCCCTTACCCTCTGTCACGCTCCGAGGCTTTTAAATAGCGTCGCGTCCAAAGCGTGTACGGTTAATATTTGCATATTCAGGCACACCGATGAGGTCAACTTCTGCATAGAAGAGAAAAAATGTGCTAAAGATCGTATTATATTGTAATAAGTCCGCTTCGTCAAGTCTTAGCATGGATGCAAAAAGCAATAAGAAAAAAATTGGCCCCGTACCCCATTGCTTCACTGCAAAAGACGTCAAAAGACGATAGTCTTCTGTCTCGAGGCGCTGCATGAGATATGGCGCCATCTGGCAATAATGTGAAGGAACGAAAGCTTTTTCGTTCATAGCGTTGCATTGTCAGTGCAGCGTAATAAACACCCCGGTCTTTAGAATATACGTATCGTATATTCGTATACGTATACGTATATCGTATATCGTATACGTATATTTACGTAGGGATATTGCGCCTCAAATATAAGTAATATTGTTTGTTTGACTGGCAAAGTTCTTGAGTATCAACGCAGCCACCAGACCAAGATGGGTGGGCTCTTGGCACGGGCTTAAACTTTCGCCATGCAGGTCTGAATCATTGGACACACACCAACAGGCAGACCAAATATTTGCGCTGAACTCATCCTCGGCTGAAGTATACCCAAGAAAGGCTATCGTCTTTAAAAGCGTGTTGTTGGTATGCCGTACATTTACTCTGTATCTCATAAGGTAAACTAGGCAGGCAGTATATGTGGCCTCAGGGTTGTTTTTACGGCTGCCAATCAGCTAGGTGAGATATTCGTGGCCGTGCAAGGAAAGAACGAGTAGTTGATAGAACGAGTAGTTGATGGCCGGGAAAGACATGGGTTGACATTTGTTTCGGGAAACACGCCAACAAATTTACCGATTGTCGTACAGGTGCTGTCGGG